CGACGCTCCGTCATGCATACAGTACAGCCCCCGCCCCCCGTGCCGCGTCCCTTGGTCCGCCGGGCAGCAGCATCATGGACAGGGTGCCATGACTGCACGGCTACTTATCACGGTTAATGGCCTGGATATGAGACGAACGTCAGCCCGCAAGTGGGTCAGCAATTGCAGATCGACTCCCCTTCTGGTCCGAAGGGGTAGATGTCCGTCTCATCAACCCATTTCACGCCCTCACCGCCGCCCGTCTCAGGGGGGAGCGGGGGCGTCCTGAACACGCCAACACCTGTCACCTGTCCCAGTTCCCCGGCACTCTCTGCGGCCGCGCTGTCCGGGGTAGGCAACTCGCCCGCACGCGTGTCATGTCGGTGGGCTGCCTCTAGAGAGCCTCATGTGGCGTCACACTGTCTGTGCAAACAGATGACTTAGCCAGGATGATGGCGCGACTCTCGCCCGCAGTGTGCGCCGCCGTGCCGGGTGGTGGTGGTGCCGCCGATAAGCCCAGCATCACAGCCGCTCTCTCACGCCGGCATTACACTTGTATTATTAATATTATTATTACAATATCAAGCACAACTATTTTTTTTTTGTTTTGTTTGGGAGGTCGTGGGGGTCACCCTTCACTATCAGTACCGCTAATTAGTTGGGCCCGAGCGATACCAAACAAGTGTGTGGGATGGAGAGATGGAGAGGAGCGGGAGGGAAAGGGGGGGGGGGTCACGACAGGGCTTCAGGGGCCCGCTGCCGGCTGTCGACACCAAGTCCGGCCGCAGTGTTGAATCTCACCCCGACAAAGGTACTGATTCGTTTCAATTTGAAAGACCTTAAAGAGAAAAAAGAAGAAGAAAACACTATAAAGTGTTGTAATGGCTTTGTCATTTTCGTGTAAGCCATCATGGACGTGTAAATATCCTATTTCCCCCAAGAGGTCCAAGATGCCTGGCCACTGGACTGGTCGGACGAGTGCAGTGCGATCTGGATGGATGTACAAGAGGAGGAGAGGGAGATTAAAGACGATTGAGGATGTGTCGGGGATTAGGAGACGTGTGCATAAGAAGTTGTGAGGGTGGGGCGGCTTTTACGGAAGTCCGAGGAGTCCCCCACTTACCAACTCGTTATACACTCTTCCCGCGCCCAGCTCGCGTCCAACTCACGAAAACTCGCGCCAAACTTGCGCTAAACTCACATCTAACTCGCCAAGTCGTACACGTATTTTAGACGTGGGGGACCCCTCGCCCCCCGCGGAAGCCCTCCCGCGGCAAATGACAAAAGGGTCACGCCGCGGGTGGAGAGAGAGGACCGGGTGCAAGCTCTTCTATCAACACGAGCCCGAGCCGACGGGGAAAAGGAAAGTTCCACTTGAAGCGGCACCCAAAACGTTCTGGATGGAGTGACAGATTATCGCCGCCGGTCCGAGTGGCCCCTGGTGATAAAGCGAGTCGTTGATGTGGCTTTGTTGCAACGGTTGCAACCGAAAGTGTTATTGCACGGGACGGTGCGAGTACAGTAGCGCCCGAGCCCCGGGCCGCGCAGCGAGCGCAATCGCAGGCAGGGCCAGTGGCCCCTCCGAGAGGGCGCGGGGCGCGGGCGCTCTCTCACTATCAGGGGTGTACACTAATTTTGGACCGGTGTTTTGGGGCGGGGGGTTTGCGTTGATTTTTTGTCAGTTCCTATACTCTACTTGAGCTGTACTGAAAACTGACCTGGTCGATGGGACTGTCTATTTTTTTTTAGCCCTGTGGGCTAATTTTTTATTTTACACTATAGTGTTAATACGTATGTGTAATTTTTAGAGAAACGTCTCGTCTTGGATGCTTTTTGGATCCTGCTTTAATTACTTTTAAATTTCTGGAATGTCTTTTGTCTCATTAATTGCATCGTAACGGCCAGTTTCTAAATGCCTCGACATCTGGAGCTGCTGCTGCCCACATAATGAAACACGACTGTTGTTTGGGTTTGCCCAGTGCCCCAAGGCAGTCGCGGGACAAAGCGACATACTCGAAAGGTTTTTGAGGAAATTTGACCTCCGGAAACGGCCGTATGATGATCCGAAATGCGTACAAACTTGAGGGATCATCCAGAAAGTAATTTTTTAATGTTGTAAAGTAATGTTTCTAATGTTGACAATGAACCATTCAATCAATCAATCAATCAAAGTACACCCGTCGTTACGAACCCGCGAAGTTCGGCCGCTCCAAGCCTACATAGCGCCTGGTCAGTAGGCAACATCTCTCCAGCGTCGCATGCGTGTACTGCGGGTTGGCCTACCCCGAACCTCGCAGGCGCCGTGCTCCCGTAATTTACCGCACGAATCTGAGCAAAGCAGACGTACTTTCTGGACGATCCCTTGACTGGGAGGTGCGGGTTGGCTCCCGTGATCCTTGCTCTCCTTCCACGACATGACGGATTGCCTCCGTGTCCCGTGAGAACCAGTTCCGGAGCCCCGCTCGGCCGGCGCGAGGGCCGAGGCGACGCTCGCCGCTGCCTGGCTTTCGCACTGTTAAGTGATGCGGGCAACACCAGTGCAGCACGCCGCGGCCACGACGCCGGCACGTGGGTCTAGCGCTGCTCAAGGAAATGAGACCGCCGTGCTCCGCGGGCGGGCCTGGGGCCTGGGGCCGGCGGCCCGGGCCGGGCCGGGCCTTGCTCGGCCACTCCGTGTGCCCTGGGCGCCCGCCTCCCGGCCGGCCGGAGGACCGCGGACCCGCGGCGTGTCGCTTGGCAGCCGGCGTTCACCTCCCCCGCTCGGCGCCCCGCCCCGCCCTGTCTCTGTTTGAGGACTTGCTGGCTTACCTGCTCACGACGGTGCCGGCCTGATAACCTTCACTCACATCCCGCGGGCCCTAAACCTCCCCCCCTCCCCCCTCATTGCTCTTTAAATGTTCTGTGATACTGAGGCGAGTGTTGTCAACCAAGTCGGCAAAAAGTCCTCACGAACTCACCTGTGCGTGGGGTGGGCTAACTCCTAGGCAACAAGGGCTTGCCCGGCCCGCCCCACACCCGCACACGTGTATTCGTGGGAATGTTTTCCCTCCCAAGTTGGCAACACTGGTGACCCCTGGCTTGCTCCCCCGCGGAGAGAGAGAGAGAGGGGACATCACCTGACGATCAGCCGGCTGCCAAATTACTTTATGACTGGGGTGAATAAATACTTGTAGAGCGGCTTATCGGCTCTGGTATGGGCGGGACGCGTCTAGACGAGCGTCACTGAGGGGTAAATACTCGCGTCATATCTACATGTCGGATGACTTCCTTTTTATTTTGTTTTCTGAAAATTTCCTGCGATTGCTTGTAACTTCCTAAATCGTCGATGACTGCCCAGCGTCGCGATGATGTCATGCGGAGTATGTGTGTCAGTTCGGTGGCTCTTTCGTTTTATCTCGTCTAATCGTGATGGTGTGGCTCGCCTCTGGCT